TCGTTCCTCCTTCCCCCGCCAGCATCCCCCGAGCCGCTCCTCCTTCACCCTCCTCTCCCCCGGGGCTGCATTCCAGCCCCTCCCGGGACCGGAGCGGGGACCGGAGCTCTGCCCTGCGATCCCCGAAGGTTCGCCCGCTGCCGCCGGGAGAAGTCCCCGGTACCTTTGTCCTGTCGCCCTGCGCATCCCTCCCCTCCCCGAGCATCTCTGCGCATCCCCATCCTCCTCTTCTCCCACTCGTTCTGTGTCTGCCTTGGTTGTGTCACAAAAGATCCCGAGTTCGGACTAGTTTTGAGTATTTGTTTTCCGTGTGGCAGCTTTCCCGCACAGTGAGAAGCTGTTTGGGTTCATTCCCCTCCGCCCCCATCCCCCGAAGTCACTGCTCTCAAAAGTTGGGGCTTCCTAAAGCAGAACGGGTTGTTATGTTGCCCAGAGTGGGCTCTGGCACTCTCCATCCCCCGGGTGTGCTTCTGTGTGTCTTTCTCTAGCAGGTACTGATCTTCCCATCGTCTCTCATACTCCTTTGCCTTCATGCCACACTCTCCCTTGTGATTTCTTGATGCTCGTTTGTTCTTCACCTTTCTAGGTCTTAGACAATAGATTTGGGGTTTTTTTTTTAAATGTCATTTCACTGTTGCTTGGAGTACTCTCAAAAGCGGGTTGTGAATGATAAAAACAAGCTGCCTGTTGAATATTTTTCAGTAAATTCTTTTGTAGTATGATAATTGTTTTGGTTTTCATGGGTGGTTTTATTTACTTTATGCCTGATAGCAACTTCTGGAGTCGCAATAGAAACACAAATGAAGCCAGCCCTGCCCCGTGCCCCCCCAGTTTCCCTCCCGATCCCTCTCCTCCCCCCACACAACCACACACTTGCATTGCTAACTCATCCCTTTGGAGCACTGTGCTCTCTGCCTGGGTAAATCATGCGGGGTGACAAGATGTTTGTTTTGGAAAGAAAGGCGAGGGACTGACTACATTATAGACGTGTTCGGTTTTCTGCTCTTCTCCGAAGTCCTTGTATAGGTTCTGGGAAAGAACTGGCCTCTGCTTGAGTAGGAATTGCACAGGTTCTGTTGGTGCCGTGCTTAATTTTTTTTTCTGTCGTGTGTAGTAATATTTGAGAGCCTGGATGTTGTTCGGGGTTTTGTTTCAAATCACGTAAAGCCAAAATGAATTGTAAAGACATGTCGGTTTCAATCAGTTACCAGGGCATCTACACAAAGTTTGGAGTGCTTTCTCTTTCTTCCCTGGTATAAATGGAAATTTATGTAGGAATGTCAGCTTCTACGTGTCTCCTTAGCAACGTGAATCCTTTGCCCCTTCTCCCTGTCTCCTGAAATAGTATCCCCTTGATTGCAGAAAGACTTTTCAGATGGCTTGAATGAGAACCTGCTTCAAATCCCCCCAAGCTCCACACAGACTTTATTGAGCTCCCCTCTGTCCATCTCCACACACGCATGCGTGTGCACACACAAAGTGGGGCGTTCAGAAAAGCAGGACAGCTTATGGAGCAGCATGAAAGGACACTAGTCTCTCTTGTGCCTTCATTGCTCACCTGCCTGTTCATGGGAAGGCAGAAGATGAATGGGTGAGGATGGATAGGAATGAAATGTAATTTTGTCGGATGCTGTGTGTTGAAAATCTGTCCCCTCCTGGTGCTTTCTACTATCATGTGCACAAATTCCTGGCTGTCCAGTTTTATTCAAGTTCCTTGAATGAGCTTTACCCATTTTCCTCAGATACTTTCCAGTCTAGTGGGGCCAGGTTTCACAAGCTACTGGGGAAAAAGTGAATGATTGTTTTATTTGAAGTGACTGGAATAAATCCTGCACTTTTCTGGTGTTTGGCACACAATGGTGCATTTCTGAGCAGATGTGAAATATGAGAAACTGCACCCTTCTCCCTTTGCCTCCTCCTAGTGTGCTACAATCCCATTGAAGTCAACGGCAGGGCACCCGCTAAGCTCACCAAGTTGAGCTGGGCTCATATTTGAGACCATTTTGTGTGCTTGCCTTAATATTTTAAATGCACTTTCCTCTTACATCGTGAATCTAGCAAGCAGCATATTTTGGAGATGGTGGAGAGCTCCCACAGGGAAAGCTCTTTCAGCTTGATGCGGCTGCAAGCAGCTTTGCAGCTAGCTAACTGTGAAGAGCAGGAGTACACACAGGAAAAAGGCATCTTCAGCCATGATTTGAAGAGATTTACTTCATCATCCCTTGAAGGAGAGCACCTCAAGTGGCAGCATCAAGGGCAAGCTCATGCGAGAGGCTGTTAAAGCATATTCGAGGTTTAATTAAAAACTTTTGTTCTAATTACATGTAGGACCCCTGAATGCTGTCAAAAGGGCAACTTGGTAGTGGAGAGCAGAAGGAAATGTACAGAGCATGACTGCATTGGCTGTTACAGCAGGAAATAATCCCATAGTTTTCCTTGAGCATTGCTGGTGCTTAGGGTATGTGCTCTCCCATTCATTCACTCACTATTTCTATGGCTTTTTATAACTTCCAGGCAATTGTTCCTTCTTATACTACTTCTAAAGTTGTATAAATCCTTGCAATATTGATGATTCAAGTGTGTAAAATAGTGAGTCCAATTAATTTTTTGACATCTTAAGACTATAAAATATCTTAATTTGTCTTTCTTCTCTCTGAGTCTTTACAGTCACTTGTTCAATTTTTTTCTTGCAAGAGCTAGAAAGGCATTCTTGCATAACCCTCATCTCCCTCTTCCCTTGATGAAATTTTGAAATTCCCACTAACAGCAACTTCAGCAGCTGAAAAACTAACAAAGTTGCCAGTGTGGAAAGATATGTGATGAAACCCTGAGATCCAGAAATGCAGCTGTAAAGTTTCACCAACTGTCTGGGCATAAAACTATTTTCTATGATCAAAGCTTAACTTGGCTAATGCACAAGTTGTCTTGAAGTCAGCTGCATTTTGAACTTGTGTGTCTTGAAAGAAAATATTTTTTTAGACCTAATTTGAAGTGCATTTTGTCTAATTTGTGATGGTTCATTTACAGATTTATCAAGAGTTATGTATTAATATTTATCACAGCATTAAAATTAAGTGCATCCTGTGTATAAGTGCCTGGTGTATGTCTGTACCTGTACAGTAGTTGTCTTCCTCCTGCAGAGTTAATCACAGTAAATTTGAATTTGTGCAGTAGGCTGCAGCCATTATAGCTCTTTAAATCAGAGATACACAAATGTGATGTGGAAGACATAAATGGCTCCATAGAATTTGATCTGCAGGTAAACATTTTGTATTTTGACTTCAATATATGTATATGCTGTTCCCAGAAAACAATGGCTCCTTCACAGCATTTCAGTTTATTGTGAAAACAGCATATATGAAAACACATTTGAATGATTTTGTACTGATTAACTGCCTTCATTCCCGTGACTTGGGGGCTATATGGCTTTGTAACTTTACAACCTGTGTATTTGTTTATTCCATGTTCAGTTTTCTTTTAGAATATTATGCTCTTTAAGAACTGTCCATGAACGTTTGAAAGACAAAACATTCTCAAGGAAATACATGCAACAGGGTCTCTGTGTTTAAACTTTGTGAGAAACAAACCATGAAGGTAAGCTTAGCTGACAGCATAGTGCAGTAAACAACTTGAGTCTAGTTTTATGCTTGTAATTTTGCTCTAATTTGTCCTTAAAATAAAAATAGCATCAGAGGCTGCTCATTCAGTAGCACTTCAAGGGGCTTAACCTTAATTATACATTAGATGCAGATATCTGAATTGAGATGCCTGAATAGTCTTGGATAGTATCTCCTTGTTTGGAATCTAAGGAGTTGTTCCAAGGGGAAATTGCTAGCTCAAAAGCAGCTTCCTCATTAGAAGATCTGGATCATTGCTCAGATTTGATGTTGACATGTGTTTGTAAAAAGCTCAGCAAGACTGGTAGTTTGCTGTAAAATAACATAAGAAGAACTAATGTTTTTTTACTAAGTCTGAAAAAAAGTGGCTCATACAATGTAAGGGGGAATGAATAAAACATGCCTTCTGGTTTTGGAAACTGCAGTCTGTCATTTTGTGTATCACTGTAATAATAGTCCCCCACACTTTATCTGAAGGTGGATATAAAATAAAAGCCATACTGCTTCCAACTCGGCATCTAGGACTCTGAGCAAGCTGATCTAACTTTGAAGTTGAGTTTGGCCCTGCTTTTCGTGGGGAGCAGGACTAAATGACTTTAGGAGGTCTTTCCCAACCTGAATTATCCTGTGATTCTGTGGTGACTGATACAGAGTTCCAGTGTGTGCAGAATGCCTTGAATTGGTTAACTAGGCCTCACAGCAGCCCCAGATAGACTATTTTAAGGTATGCCCCCTCTTTTACAAATGGAGCACTTGTTTTAACCTTGGGATTCCCAAGGCCACAGATCTAAGATTCCTGTTCAGCAGTCTGGACCTCTTAGTATGATGGAGGCTACAATTTCAGACATCCTTCTCCAAACAGCTGAGACATGGTTAGAGCCTGTCTGTTTGTAATACAAGAATTTTGTCTGAGATTGTCTGATCAAGGCAAGAGCACCATACAGTTTATCACTGATAACACTCAAAAAGAAAGACTTCTAGCTATAGTGGGTTATTGTTACTGCTGTTCATTGCAATTTTAAAATCAGTAATTCATCTCATTGCTTTGTTTTGTTTATCAAATAAGATGTTCCTTGTGTTAGGGATAATTTAAGTAGTTTTAATATTTGATGAGATTTTTATATTGAGAATTGCATAGAATTGCTTCTATTACTGATTTGTGGCCCATGATCACCACATAAGGTTCAGGGTAATAAGCTGAGGAGGGGGAAGGTCCATCCAGCTGTATAACTTTGTGTGTTTCACTTGTTCCAGTTCTGTAAGAGAAAGACCATCGTTTTGATGGGAAGCACTCCTCAAACTATTTTAAATGCTAATTGTTTTTTCTCAAGGAACAATGGAATGAGTTTTGAAAATTGCAGTTTGCTTGAAGAACATTGGTAACTGTAGGAAATAATTACATTCCTGTTCTAACACAAAGCATTCTGCTTCAGATTGCTAAAAAGTAGTAGCGTATATAGAAGAGGTCAGGAAAGGTGAGCTTTGCATGAGAAGCTTGTATAACACATCTCCCACACTTCTTTCCTAATGACATAATTCTAAGATTCAGAGGTTTTTGTGAAGTTCTTAGAGTTGTGGGTGTGCACAGTTGTTTGGGGTTTTTTTTATTTTTATTTTTATTGAACGAATGAATACCCAAAATTAAAATGGCATAGTAGCAAGCTAATCTCAGAAGAATGCCATGTATCCAATGGAGAAAATGCCCGAGTACATGCTGTACTATTCTGTGAATAAATTATAGATTATATGATTTTCTGTAACACTGTACTGGTCTTGAAGTCCTCTGTTGGCAAAAGTGATGTGCAATGTGTGTTGCTCTTAAATGATAAAATAAAGATCTGTGTAATGGCACCACTTAATTCTTGATTTGAAGATGTTCTGTGTTTGAAGAATTTTACTCCATGATCTCAGAAATAAAGGCAGGCCACAGCTCAGAGCACACAACACACCCAACCCCAGCCCTCTGCAAACTGTATGTGTTTTGTAGAAACGAGGAACACAAGCTTTACTCTTCCAAAGATGTGTCCGTGGGCAGATGAGCAAGCACCTGCTATGTTTCAAGTGGCTCATACATCTGTAATCCCCCAGGCACTAGACCATTTTGTTGTCTTGCAAAATCAGTCTCTTTCACACAACAGTAGAGGTGCTTGCCATATTTTTATTGCTTTTGTTGTACAGCCTGATCTCCTGTAGAGGGGAAGTACACAGAAAGTTTGAGTCCAGCAATCTCAGGGCCACACATAGTCTGATGAACACAGCGGCTGAGATGGAGACATCAGGCAGGTTAATGCAGTCTGGATTTTAGGCAAAACTGCTCTAGAGACCATCCTGAGAAACTGAGGTCATTTCTGCTTTGTGTGCTGCTCACTTACCTGGGAACCAAACTGTCCCCTGCATGCTCAGTGGCATCTTTGCGTGGAAGGCAGTGGAATTCTGCTTGCCATTGAAAGGTGAGTGGAGTCTGCACAGTTAGTTATTCCCCCAGCCTAGCAAGCACATCCTTCCTAGGCTGAGCAGGGTCATTGGCACAGCACCTACTACGTGCAGCGTGCTGCCAGCAGGCTCTCACCTTGTCTGTAACCAAGTTGGCCTCTTCCTCTCTGATCACACTTACCTTGCTGTGAAGAAGAAGAAAGCTGTAGGCGGAGCCCAAGCAAGAGGCTATATGGCAGCTAAGGAGGTATCTGCCTGTCCTCCTTCATTAGTCAGCTCTCATTGTTACCCAGTACCATTTCACATCTCTGTAAGACACAGGCATACCTGGGTCTGCCCCAGTTAGCTGTTTTTTGGACATCTCTGTGCTTGTTCTTGTTTTCTTTGACTGATTCTAAGTGACCCTCCACTCAACATCATGAACACTAAATCATCCTCCAAGAGTCTTGTACAGTAAATGGAAAATGACTGATGCCTTATGTGGAGCCTCTGAATTATCCTTAGGAGGCACTTAGGGATTTTGCCACCCAGCATAAAATGCTTAAACTTCTCTTTGGGTGTTGTCAGAGTTGTGGTGAATTAGAGCTATAGGAAAATCTTCCTGTTAGGCCTATGGGTGCTAGACTTGGGTTGTCAAGGGCTTTGTCCCACCTGCTGCTGTGTGTGAATGATGACCAATTTCTTAGGGAATAGCTCAGTACATAAATCTGTTGGAGCAGCAGAAAGTAGTTTTGTCATGCCCACGAACAGCTTTTTTTTTCATGTATCTGTAAGCTTGCATAGTTGTTTCATGTGTTCAAATTTATGGCTTTTAGAAGAAAGCCTTGATGTAAAGTGTTTGAGTTCTCTCTTAAGGAAATGATGCATTCAGCCACAGCTGGCTAGTTCCCATAGCTCTGGTAATGCTTTTTAAATGTCTTAAGTGACTTGAGGTTCCACATGCACAAATAATTTTCATACTTTAGAAAAACCTTTTTCTCAATCCATAAAATTAAAAGAAAATGTAAAAGCCAGACTATGGCTGTGCAGCAGCTAGCAGGAGTAAGCAGACTATACTGGTCAACAGTGAGCAGAAAACAATTATTTATTTTGTTTTTTGTCCAAGGCGCCACTGTGGAAAGCTGTGCTTAGAGCAAGTTGTAGAGGTTTGATGTGGATCTTGCCCGAAAGCACTTCTCTCTGCAGCATGCAGAAGTGTATGCTATAGAGTCTCAAAAGACTCTGCTTGTGGTCCTGGCTGTATAAGAGCAGAGCCAAGTCACTGATGGACACTGGACTTCCCAGCTTCAGCCAATATCTCCTTCGTTCAGAGCAGAATTCGTCTGAGCAGCTCCTTAAAAACCATCATTTTGCCTCAAGTGAGGCTCCCAAGGACTGACTTCTCTGTGGAGTAGTTTGATGTGAGAACATAATGACCACTGCAGTATGTATTTTACCTCAGCACTTCTACCAGATTCAGTGGTTCTTCACCTTCCACAGAAATTGTGGATCTGATCGTGCTGAAGAAAGAGGAAATCTTACTGGTCATGCAATCAATGCACTTCTAGAAACTAGATTCTACCTCTCTGTATATAATCACTACACTTTTTTTAACTTGTGTTGGCTATTTGATGGCTAAGTTTGAATATGAAGCAATGAGGACTATCTCTAGCTAACTTAGCTAAATTCTAGTTGTTCAGATGGTTTAGGCCTTGTCAGTGTAATTCTTAACATATTGCTAAAACAAACGCTAAAAAAACCTAAAGTTACATCTCTGTAGACTCCACAGTTATAAGCCAAGAAAGCAACTTGATTTGGGCATGACTGTGAGATGCCAGTGCTTTTTATAAAAAGTCTAAAAGTTTATTAGTATTTGTGTAAGTAAGATTTTGGTAGTCCCTATTATTTTCCTTGGATAGTAGATCTGTAGTGATGTACAGTGAAAATACTAATGTGTAACCAAATTTTGTTTTGCATATGGAAAACTAATAATTATCATCTATAAGGTCCCATTTTGCTCATGTTTATGCATGTTTCTATCTCTGTGAGAACAAGCAGTCTCATTGAACTGCTGATGCTCCTGAACTGAGTATAGTAACTTATTTGCAAGATTGGTGCCTGCCTGGAAATGGTGCAAGTGTATCTGAATCCTCTGAAATGGGCTTACGATGTATGTGTTCTGTGTATCAGTAACACTATGTAACAGAGCAATCTACTGATCCCATTTTGATGTGTTATAAATCACTCCTGGGCAGTCCAAAGAACATTACAGATTTTTATTGTAGAAAGCTGTTTGTTATATGTGGTCATATTGTTCTAGCTATCTGACTTACTGGGTGTTCTGCTTTCAGAGGTAGTGATTCAATTTTCTTTGGATGTTTCTTTTATTTTGTGTAAAGTCCAATGGGTTTTTCTCTTAAAAAATAACTGCTGTTAAGTAGAAGACCCATGAAGATTTTACTTCCTTAATCCAGCATGAGGTTTATTTTGTCACTAGATCTAATAGCTTTCAAAATTGAAAGGTAAAGATTTTTCCAAGATGGCAAGGAGATGTAAACATGTAGTTACCATGGTAGGCAGTATAGGAAAGTTTAGTCCAGTATTCTTTGTGCACTAATGTCTGACCTTCCTGATGTTCTGCAATCAATGTCCCACTCAGCTGCAGCTCAAAGCAAAGGCAGTAGCTTTGTATGCTCCTGTGAATGGAGGCTGGAGCTAAAATAACAAGGCAATTCCAGACAATGTGGCCCAGAACACAACATTCAATACCTGATCCTCAGCTAGGAGTGAGGTGCAGTGAGAGCCTCAGTTTTGTCCTACTGTCAGCATCACTGAGTAGGTTGTCTTACTCCAGAAATTAATTTTGTTTATCCAAGTCAGTTCTTTTTTAGTTGGGAGTGTAGGTGTCTTTGAACACTCGTTTGTCCTTCACCTCCCACATCAGTACTATAGTAAGGTATTTTGTTTATTTTTTTAGCCTTTCTAAACTCCATATATGTCTATCTATCCTGGAATTAAACTATATTCTAATCCCATGCTTATATCATCTTTGCTTAAGTTATTTTCACTTGTTTGGTGGTCTTGCCAGTGTGGTTTTGGAAAACAATACAATACTCAAAGTTTTTTCCATTTAGCTGCTATTCCAGTGTTGCACACCTTCCCTTTGCATTAGACTTTGGCATCTGATCAGTGCAAAGATAACTTTTAATATTTTATTATTTGTAGTGGCTTGCACAAATCTTGGTTTCTGAGTTTTCCCATCTTTCACTTTGATTTGTTCCATCAATTTTGTATGGCTTTTAACCTTGGTGCAGTATGGATTTATGTGTCTAGTCTTTGCATCTATGTAATTTTCTAGTGCAAGGATTCTTTCATATTGTTCCAAAGTGGTCCATTCTGGTTATTTATTTCCGTATTTTATATCTGTAATGCACTCTAATATCGGAAGAATACTTCCTACATCATCAGTGCACTAACCACTTGGTGTTTCTGAAGGATCATGTCAACATTAAAAACCACTCTCCATAACATCCCTACCCAGTTCTAAAATCATATTTCCTTCCCAATAATAATGACATAGCAGTGAGACACAGAAAACTGACGTTAGAGATTGTGTGCTGATGGTGGGAGAGTGAGAGATTGTTCCCAGCCTTGGGACTAAAGTCCAGTAAGAAAGCAAAGAGAAGGTTGAGTACTTAGTTAAAGTATTAGTAAACAGCATGCCTGGATTTCTGAAAAGAATGAAAATAAATGTGTGTACTTGCAAAAACACACCTTTAAAATAACTTTAAGCAGTGTTTATATAGGTCTTCTATTCACTTTCTTTTTTAATCTCCTTCATTCTTTTTCATATAATAAATGAAGGCTCTTTGGTGGTAACTTCCAGCTTTCCCTTTCCAAGCTCCACAGCTGCACTGTCAGTATCTTCTGCAGATTAGATTCCTCTTGAAACTGGATGCACTGGTTTTTGAAACAGTGATTTTTGCTTTTTCTCCAAAAAAGAAAGTGGATTTTTGTTGCTGTTGTTATTTTAGTAACCTTAAGATGTCTAAATTTATTTTGGAAATAATTGAGCTTCCTTTCTTTCAACTATGTAATGCATTTGGACATTTTACTCTGAGTATCACACGAGTGCTAGTATTGTCAGTCAGGAGATGCAGAGGATCCATAGGGCCTTTTCCTACAAACTGATTTTGGATCATCTTTCTTGAACTAGTAAGTTATAGTGATAAGCAATAAATAGCAATCTGATTCTTTTCCTTGATGCCTGTAATTGGGGAGAGGTGAAGGCTTCGATACTCTTCAGCAAAAAGACAGCACAGAGTCTGTGCCTTTCTAAAATCCCATGAGGCTCTTGAGTTAGATGTTGGATGTTGTATACACCCACCACAGCCATCAAGGCACAAATGGATCTTGGTTTATGTGATTTAAGACTGCAGGTATGTTGCTTATAACTGCATCCATTTTGTATGAGAATAACTACAAAATACACTGGGCCAAATGCAGAAGTTGCTTTTGGAGGAAGAAGAACTGATGCTTGAGGATAACTCACATTTTAAAATGGGCTTGAGATTTGACTGGGTCTGCAGCTAATGATCGTTGCTGCCTTTATAAAGTCTTGACTTCCAGCTTTTTTTAGTGTAGAATATTTTTTTTTAATTCCTTTAAGCATCTTCTTCCTTTACCTCAGCTTTGTTATTCATATTATGTGGCCTTGGTAGTTCCCAACTGACAGGTTTGTATGATGAGGCTTCATAAATTTCCCTTGCTATGTCATCCTAATCAGCTCAAGCAGAGGTTTGACTTTCACTCTCTTGTGTGAGAAAGTTACAACAGACTGAGGGTCAGCTAACACATGCTAGCTAATCCTGATCCAGGCTCCATTTCTCATTCTAAACTGGATAAAGAACAGGGAACCAAATTATTCAGTTTTACTCGAGACAAAATCCCAACAAGGCCAACTAAGCCTTGAGTAAGTGTGGGAGGTTGTGGCACTTTGCTTCTGAGTCACATCTGTTTTATAAAGGTGATGCACTAATTAGGGGAACAGAAATCCAAGGCACAGCTGTTTATTTACCTGAGCCTTGATGCAGCCTCTGTGTTCCTCATATTCTGCTGTTTCTGTCAGGCCTGTGGACTTGTTTGACTGAAATGGTATTCTTTTTTTCCCCTAGACTGGCAGATAGCTACTCTGGCTTTGCTGTTGGGTGGTGCTGCCATAATTCTCATAGCTTTCCTGGTGGGGTTGATCTCCATCTGCGTGGGATCTCGGAGGAGGTTCTACAGACCAGTTGCAGTCATGCTCTTTGCTGCAGGTAAGCACTGGCACCATGAAAGGATTTCAGGAGAGCAGCTTCACTTTTGTGAAGGCAGATGTGCCTTGCTCTGCATACTAATTCAGAGGTGTTTGGTTTACTTCTGTGTTAACTCCAGTGAGGATTTTCAGGATATAAGTTCTGCACAGCATTAATAATTTTTGCAGTTGCTTTATTATTAGTTCATAAGCAATTATTTATTTGCACTATATTTATTGTTTTGTCAAGTGCAAGCAGTGGGGGAACCGACAGAGGATAAATCTCAGAATACTGTTTTTAATCTGTGACTTTGTGCGGCTTGATGTCCCCATTTTTATTCTTCATGCAAAGCCACTTTTATGTTCTTCCCTTTACAATTTTAAAACAGGAAAAGTAATGCCCAGAGGTGAACCCTTGAAGCTCTGTGTGTGAAAATAAATAGGATTATCTTTCAAGGTGTCTATATATGCCTCTGTGCCATAAGGAATTAATTTCATTGTGTCATCTTGCTTACTTAGTTATTAATTTAACAAGCTGTCGCAGTGTAATCCCTGCTCGGTTTTAAAAACATAAAAATAGAACAGTTTATATAAACTATCACAAAATCTTAGGGGAGACCCACGAACCTGAATTGTCCGTGAGACTGATCCAGTGAGGTATAATTACAATATCAAATCATCTCCTTTTGTATATTCTGGTGTTTTGGGGCTTTCTTTCTCTGCTGAGATTCACAAAGCGTGGCTTGCCTTCATCCTGTCTCCATATCTGCACTGGAGCCAGCAGCTTCAGTCCCTTCTGACAGCCCATGATGAAGAGGATGACACAACCTAGTCTTGGGGATATGTTTAAAAAAGCCACTTAAAAGGATGTGAAGAGTGGAATTTGGGTGTTGGGCTGAAGCACAGCTGCAGGAAGGCTCCTGCTGCCCTCTGCTGTTAGTGTTCCCTGGTGGAGCTCAGCCCTTCAAGGTGCACTTTGATTTGCTCAAGACGTATTTGCTTTTAGCAAATGAAAGCAACCTATTCCCTAAACAGAAATCATCTGGTTTTGTTTTCTGTGTTGCGTTCCTTGCTGGATATAATGGATAAAGGTACTGGTGCTGTTGTTATAAAATGAAGTGTTAATTCTGAGATGATAAAGCATGCTGGGCAATTAACTTTGAAGAAAATGGGATTATCAGATTTCTGAAGTGGTTTCCTATTTGTCTTTTGATTTCATTTCTCATAATGTTCTGTAGTAACTTGGCAATTATTCAGCCATACACTGCCTGTCTTGCCATATTGCTTATTTAGTATATAGTGAAGTTTGTACTACAAAAAAGAAACACCTTTCCCCAAGAAAAGATTTCTCCAAATCCTACTGCTTGTCTTAAAGTTCAATCTGTTCTCCTCTGCATAAAATTAGTTCTAGTCTTTACTACAGAAGGTTGGGGGTAGAGGGAGTTTAATGCTCGCTTGCATCCAGAAAGAAAATAAATTTGTCCTTTAGCTCATGGCACTGTTCACCTCTTCCCTGTGCCTCTGTGTGTGTGTGTGTGTGTGTGTGCATTTTAAATAGCCACGACCCGAAGCATATGAGAAGAGTGATGATGAGACCAGGACAGTCTGCTCCACTCTTTTTCATTATGAGACAGATCTGAGGAGAATCCTTTTAGGATTTGACACTGCCATTTCCTACAGATTTTATATTTGATGTCAGCAGTTTTTAGGGTGACTATGGATGACATATCTTGAAAGAATTATGGAAATAATCCCCTAATGAAGAGGGGAAAGTTTAAAATTGCAGCACAGTAGAGTTTGTGCCTTATGCAACTTTACATGGATTCAAACCTCCACCTGTGGATTTCACACATCTTCCAGGATAAAACCCCCCACAACCTGTCAATGTGCTGACAAGACCAAATATTCTGTATGGCTCTGGTTAGAGGTCTACCAGCTGCCTCTGCAAAAAGAACAGTCTGAATTGCCCAGAGACATTTAATGATCTGTGTGGGTGTTGGGTAGAAAAGGTCTCTGCGTGGAAGAAAGGAAAAAATTGAAAAGTGGTTTCCAGGTGCTTTAGAGACCAAACCGTTGGCTCTTGGCTTTTTGTTTCCCTCAAGTTTTCATTTATTTTTACTTTTTTTCTCAGCTTCAGGTTTCTGTTAGCGACTCTGTAGGTGAGGGAGAGGATTGACTGACTAGAACTGGAAGAGATGAGAATGCAAAGGGACAAAAAAAAAATTCAACCTAGATACTGAGAATAAGCCAGCAAGTAATGAACAGATGTGTGTTTTCATAGAGCTGACAGTATGGATTTTAATGGTTAGAGCAACAGGAATACCTCAGGTAATGGAAAAATGTGCAGCACACAGAGAGGCAGTTGCAGGACACTTGCATGGAGCCACCTTGGCTCATGCAGCTCTTGTGGTCTAGTAGAGGTCACTTAGTGGGTATCTTAGTGCTTATGACCCAAACTGGCCCTGAGAACTGCATCCTCAAAGTACAAGCTCACAAATTTGTCAGTGTAGGGAGTCTCATGATACACTTACCAGATAACTAACTGGTAAGAAACAGAAAGTATATTAGTTGAAAGTCCATAAAAAGGAAAAAAAAACCCAGGTCAGCATAGCATGGAGTTCCTTTAAATTAATTAGAAGCAGATCAGTAGTTGCAGGCATTGCTTTTAACATATTTTGGGGTCATACTGGTAATTTCTCATAACTTCACTGACTGTTTCTTGCTTACACAGCTCCCATCCTGCTCTGCAGGAAAAAACAATGACAAAAGGCAAAATAAGTGCAAAGTGATGACAGTGCTATGTAGTGGGGCTGTTCCCACCAGCCAGTTGCTGCCAGCACTTCCTTTGAGTTTTACAGTACTGTAGCTGGACCAGTAGTAGCAAAAGAAGGAACCCTCACTATAAAAATGTCAAAAAAATCTTTGGTGGGTGTTGCTGCTTTAGCAACATGTTCCTCTTCCAAGAGAATCACTTTTTTGTTGTGTTTTGACAAGTCCAATCTGTAGATTGAAATGAAGCATACTTCATATGTTAGACTGGGAAAGGTGGAGGAGCTTTCTGGGTTGGCACTTGACACAGACACATGGAGCAGTTTCTGTATTGACTCAGTGGAGATGCTGCATCCCCAGTTCAGGAAGCCACTAAAAAACTCACTTATTTCCATACATCTTAAGAAATCCCTGTTGAATTTGAATGGTCTTAAAGATATGTCTGAAAGCTGAGCATATGTGGAGGTGCTTTTGGGTATAATGATGCTCTCATTATACAGAATTGGAATGCATAGTGTTCTCATAACATTAGGTGCTTTCCCCAGTGTACCCTGCCAAAGTTTCTTCAGTGTTGCACAGTATTTGGTGAGCTGACAGACAAAAAATCATACTCAAATGGAGTAACATAAAGTAACACTTCAATAACTGTAGAGTTAAAAAAAGTCTTGTAGATTTAGGTCTCCACATCAGAAGATCCACTATGCAGACATTATTCAGATTGTCAGTCTCAAGTAAGAGTCCAAAGGCTACTCTGTAGGTAAGGCAGGTGGGGAGAGCTGGAATTTCCAGTGAGTGTTTTATAAAGTGTTATCCCCAAAGGTCTAATGGGTATGGGAAGTCAACTCCCCATCCCAGTCCCATCTAAAGGACAGGCAAGCATTACTCTCCAGGGCTAACGAAGGGGTCCAGTTCGACAACACTGAAGAGTGTGTGTGGGAGTGAAGAGGCAAATGACAGACTTTGAGTGTGCAAAGTGCTCAAGCAGTTGGAGAATGTGATTAATGTTATTTCATTTTCCTGTAATTTTTCGGTGTAATTTCAGAAAGGATTCTGTAGTCCAGACTAGTCTTTCTTGTTTTTATTGATGCTGGCATTGTAACAGTGTTCTAAATAGCATTTGTTCCTTCTACAATACCTTATAAACTGTAACAAATGATCCAGTAAAAGTTGAAGAAAGGAGTTACTATGGCCTTAAATTGCATATCATTGAATTTTCGTCAGAGCCTGTCTCAAGCACATGCTTAGCTGTGTGGATGTGCCCAGCCTGCCTGCAGCCAGGGCCTGGGGGGTTTGCAGAGATGGTCATGTGCTGAAGGCTTTAAAAAAAATTATGGAAGGGAACATTGCAATATGGGCATATCATGAGGAGTAAAAGGATGATTTCACACTCCTGTGATGTTTAGTTTTCTGTGGGTGGCAGAATTGGAGGCCTGAAGAATCACTGCATCACACAGCTTGTTCTTGCCTTCAAACCAAGTGTGATTTTCACCTGCTTACCTTGGAAACTCCTGTCCCAGGACTTTATCAGTGAGTCTGAATTTAAAAAAGAATGGGTCCCCGTGAGAGTGAAATAATCTTATGAAAGTTTGGTCTCTTCATCTGTGGATTTTTCAGGTTACTGTATGTGGGATTTTTTTGTGTAGCACCACAGTTAACAGCTTTGCTGAATTCCCCTGCAGACATGTGGATCATGCTGCAGCAGATCTGGCAATCTCAGAGACAGTGCTGTAGAAAGTAATGATTTTGAAGCTTTTATTGCCTTGGATTTGATCTATTTTATTAGCTTTCTTATCACGAAGCATTTCTGACCCACCCCCTAAATTCATAATCCAAGGCAATGTTTTGCTAGTTTGAAGTTTAGTGACTGATCAAACTTCATAGATTCCTTGGTATTCTGTGTGACAATGTCATTAATTCTGATTACAGTACACAGCAATGCATATGAAATATGTAATTCAGTGAGTCTCTCCTGAGCATAAATATGTGTCACCTACTACAATGAATTATTTCTAGGCTAAGTAAATTATTTGATTCTCAGCTATATTTCTTAATATTCGTTTATTCTTGCTTCTCATTTTGACTTATTTATAATGGCAATAGAACAAGTTTTGCTATAATGGAATGAATAATGACTGCAAACTAGAATATAAAGGAAAGGCAGAAAAGGATTCAGAAAATACTGCTTTCACTGTTTATTTTGTGGACATTTGAAGGCTGGTCATTATACCATACCAACAACATTTGTTTATCAGTGAGGGGATATGGAAGAACTCTTCTGTTGTCTGTGAATGAAACAAAGATGATTTTTTTCCAAAAGGAGCAGTACTTACAAGCTAAAAATTCACCAAGAGCATTTTAAATGTGAATTTCAGTTATGTGATGTTTTCCTAGTTTAAGAGAAACAAATGAAGGCTCTTTCTGATATTTGTATTTTTTCTTCTCTTTCAGTTGTTCTCCAGGTCTGCAGCTTAGTCCTGTACCCAATCAAGTTCATTGAAACAGTCAGCTTGAAAATATACCATGAATTCAACTGGGGCTATGGCCTGGCGTGGGGTGCAACTATATTTTCATTTGGGGGTGCCATTCTTTATTGCCTGAACCCTAAAAACTATGAAGACTATTACTAGAATCATCTAATGAAAAGAAAAATTAAAAAAAGGATTCCCCCATCTTTTCTAACTCACAGTTTTTTTAGAACACTCGTGGAGCACCAAACAGTCTGCTCTGTTGATAAAATAGCCTTTGCCTTTTGGGTGTGAACACTGTAACCAGCTTTTACAACCATTTCAAAGAACTGCAAACACTAGGATTGCTGACCTTACATAGGCAGATGCTGCAAGCTGCTGATACTAAGCTTCATTTTCCCTGACAGCGAGCAAAGGGATCTGCGTGACAGCGATCATTGTGAGAAAACAAGTTGGAATGAGAATGCACTGCCAGCATCTGCTGTTGCCTTCAGGGGAGCAGCTGGTATAGGCGCCATTTAGAAGTTTCCCTGTATCATAGAGGATTCAGATGTCTGATGAGCAGGCAATGGCATCTTGTACAATGGGCTGTGTTGGCCCCTTGTTACTTGCTCAAAAACACTCTTAAGGAATTAGCTGCAAGTGACTGTGTTGAGGGCAGTGAATGTAACTGGTTAATGGCTTGTCTAGTATCTGCATTCAACAGTCTTCTGGGAGAATAATAAAAAAAAAAGAAAAACCCAAACAAGCCACCAACCCATACAGGATTTCATGAATTGGAAATGGACATCACCGTGCCAGCTGTAGCAGATTGTTGAAGGAAGTCCAAACCCAGAGCCATGTGCTTCTGACTGTGTAGTTGGAAGTTGTCTCAGCTCTGGGTATTTTGCTGGAGGGGTAGAGAGAAGGGGGAGTACAAAAAGACCTAATCTGTCCCTGCAGCATCTAAAATGTATGAATGAATTGCAGTTGTCCTAAGTACTCATCTAACTTCCAAACACTGTCATGAAAAGAATGCATATGGAACAAGTTCAGTTATATTTTTGAAAGGTATTTGTTAGTATAAATGAATATATATAATGCAAATATATATGCAGAGGGAGAGAGACGATTCATCTTAAAATTGTAATATGAACTGTGATGCAGTGGTTAAAATACTAACTTTGTACACATTCTTGAAAGTCTTGGATTGGTACTCCCAGTTTTGGTTGGTGTTACAAAATAAACATAAAATGGTTTGTCTTCTGTATATGCCCTTGTACAGACTCTGTGTTATGGGAAATGCTTAAAAGTTCACATCAAGTTAAGGTACAACTGGACAAAATAACTATTTGTTATCCATGTGTAATATAGTACTTACTAAAATTCTTTTCTAAGGCTGGTGCGAAGAAAAAAAAACTGCCATTTTTTAAAAATTCTAGTTAGGTTGTGAACATCTCTGATCACCAGGAATACAGCTGAGACCCCCATCATGTCCATATTAAAACATTAGCACTTCAGGAGATAATCTCATGTTTGTAATGAACTGTCTGACAATTATGTACATCTGATTACTCCTTAAGCCTGTGTTTCCCACTTAAAACACTCAGAGACTATACTCATGCAATGAAACCCAAGATAAAATAGGGAGAACTTTCACATGAACTTAATCCGCATCACTTTTATTTTTGTTTACAATTTGCTTATTTGGATATTTTCAATTGTGAACATATTTTTATACAATTGTAATCTTTAGAAATGACTATTTTTTTTAATGGAGAAATTTAAAATATATTCTATGTGGACCTCTGCAGAAGTGAATACACTGGGGTTACACATCCACCTCTACACAAATGTTGGTGCTGGTTGCACGGAACAGACTCCTGAACTACTGCGTGTTAAGGTCACATCTGTAGTGCTCATGCTGAGGCTCTGCAGTGAGCAGGGGACCACTGGGCTGCCTTCAGGAGGTTGTTGTGCAAGTATTGCTCACATATGGAGGTGGTTTATAAAACTCTGCAGTTAAATCTTTGCTGCCGTGGCAGAATTCTCCGTATCGGCAGCCTTGGCAGGACCAGTGGTGATTAATTCTATTAGATGGAGCAAAATGATAGCTTGACATGGAAGAGTTTGCATGGCAATGCCTGGAGAACAAAAAGGGGAGGAAAAATAATGTCTAGTTGTTTCACAGGCACCAGAGAGCATTTGTAACTCTGCTTTTTTCCTGAGACTGACTTAAGGCAGATATTCAATAGACAGTTAACTGTATCTTTCTGAACAGCTGTGTAGTTCTGCTTTTCTTTGGCAGCATGGAGAGCATTGTAGTTTGGCATGGGAATTAGGTTAGGGTAGAGAAGCTCACTGTGAGAAGATGTCTGTTCCTTGCTAAGAGGATGGGGTTTTGGTGCTGACATGGTGTGGCACTTTGTCTATGCTGACGAGAAGGTACAATGCTGAACCTGCATTGTATTCACTAATTCGTCAAAGGATTTTTCTTTATGTGGAGTTTGAGTGAAAGGCCCAAGGCATACTCAGATAAATGGCATGTGCTCTGCGAGTCACCAGCTGTTCATGGGAGGAGTGTTCAGGCAAAACAGTTTACAAACGTCAATGCCTAAAGACAAGGTTCTTCATATTCGAGTCAGAGCTCTGATTTTCAGTCTCAACACCTGCTTTTCCTCTTGAAGGTGATGCAGTCTCTTAGGACTCACCTTCCAGACTCCTCAGGCCCTTTGTGTTTGGGCACCTAGTGTGTGGATTTAGGTACCTACCTTTACCTTAGGTTGCTACTGCAGTGGGGTTTGTTTTCCCCTTACCATTGCCTTTTTTTGGCAAGCATTGTGTTTCTCAGCACTGAACTAAAAGTAAATACGACTTTATGCTGGTTTTTTCTTAGTCACAAAAAGGTTGCATATCTGTGTCTCGAGTGTACGTACGACAAATTAATGATTTTGTATGTTGTGCTTGTGTCATGTCACCGTTATTTCAGTTGTTCACGGTATCTCACTGACAGGATGATTCTCTCCCACAACAAATCCATTTTTTTTCTTCCAAATATATATGAATAATATACATATATATATATATAGCAAACTTGCAAGCAGGGCTAGTTATTTGTATTTTTTAAGCTTAAAGTATACCGTCCGGTGCTGACAAGTACCTAGCACCTCTTCTGGATTTCTTGCACAACTTCGTTTAGCTTTTGTAAATTTTAAAAACAAATATAGAGAGAACTATGTGTTTGAAATATAAATGATATATATGGATTAGCATGTAACTGTATATTATTAAACATGCAATGAACTGACTGGTAAGTGAAGTCTAATCTTATGGCTAGCAATGTAATTTATTCAGACTGTATTTTTGTACAGCGCAGTGCACACTAACCTATTGCCTCTGTGTCCTCTATAATGCCTAAAACTGTGCCTAGAAATTTCATTTCTGTCTTTCAAGGGAAAAAAGAGATGACTAAATGCTTCATGTTGTTGATAGTATTGGTTTTTCTGATGTTGTTCTTTATTTATTTTTGAGAAGTGTATGGTATGTTTATTAAATGAATCCATCAAAATACGGTTCATTTTAAATGGTCTTTGTTAGCAGGGAAAGAAGGATTTTTTTTATCTAAACTTTTAAGTTTGCAGTTTTAATACCATTTCTGCATTTCACGATTTTTGTAGCTTACATAAAGTTTTATGTGAAAAAGTAACTGAAATAAAAAAAAAAATTGTTACACTAACCAAATGTGCCTGTTTTGCTCTGAGTAGAAGATGTATGCAGCTGAAACACGGTGGTTTACTCTTGGGCAGGCTGAGAAAGAACAGTGCTTAAGCTAATGAATATCCCTCGTGCTCAGTTTTACCATGCTAAAGGAATCTTATCGAAATACACGGGGGAAGAGAGGGAGAGATGGAGTGGTTCATTGGCAAGATCCTGTATCTCACCTGGCTGTAAAGCAAGTGGCACAGGGGAGGTGTGAAGCCCATCCTGCCTTTATCGAAATGCAAATATTCTAACATCAGAAAAGCAAATTGCTGGTAATGTGGTCAATAACAATGCCGTGTATTGAAATGGAAATCTATACTGAGCACCTTGTTCCAGTAGGGGAATTTAGTCATGATATACAGGTTTCTTTTCCACATTTCCAATAACTAATACTTTTTTCATTCTAAAAGCTGGGTTACTTTTCGTCCTGGAAGAAAAATAGATGCTGTTTTTGAACTTGAAACATGGTCTTGCAAACACGGAAAAGCACGTTTAAAACACTAAAACCATGATACTGTGTTTTTTCTACTGTTGGGTAATGGACTGTGCTCCAGTGCTTCACTGGATGCCTCAAAGGGGCAGGCAGCAGCCTGAAGAGGCTGCCAGCAGCAACTGGAGGAAAATGGGAGGCAAAAGCCTTGACTGGCTTCAGTGGACTCCTGCAGCTGAGTGATACAGGCACAGGGCTGCAGGGTGAAAAGTCATGGAAAAGGAGTTCAGAGCAGGGAATGAGCATGTTGGGGTGGATGAGGATGGCAGGTGTCTGAAGTTTTGTTTTCTTTTGAAATGCAGGTGCCTTGAGGGAGAACATTCATAGGGAATTATGAATTCACAGCCACTGGGAGTGAGGGAGCAAGACAGAGGTGATGGAAGATTTGCATTAAAATTCTTGTCCTCGTGGCTTTAGGGACTACATTACCCAAGGATTTGACTTTGTCTTAATGCCCAAATTTTAGGTCATCTGTGCCCCTACACGTTGGCACAAGGTCAGAGGGGCCCACTGGCTTCACAGGAACAGACTGATCATAGGGTGAGGGTACCTTGCTCAAACATTGCCTGTCCAAACACGCTGAATGACAGGAGACTGGCTGAGCATGACCCAACCAACCCTTGGGGTACCAAACACGTCCCAGCAATCCTGACATCCTTGAGTGGCATCTCACAACATGTTTGGTATCCACCACAAAACAGGAAAAAGAAAGGTAAAACATTTGAGCCAGTTGGAAGTTAAGAGAATAGGAGGGCAAGGCTGAGTATTATACTTGGAATAACAGGACTGTGGGGAGACTAATTGCAGCTCTATCAGCAGATAGCTCAGTAATGAAAATGTCTGAAAAAAGTGAAATGAATAGCAACTGAAAAATAAGGCCTCTCTTTCCTAAACACACACACTTTGTTTCTATCTGTTCCCATTTCTTCCC